CTTCAGGGACGCCTTCACCGCCCTAAAGCTGGTGTGTTGGATCAACTGTCTGGAGCGGTCGCGGTTCTCGGCGCCGTACGAGGGGAAAGACTGCGAGGCCAAGTTCGCGTTCTTCCTGCCGCGGTTTGCGGCGGTTCTGAAGGACCCGGAGGCAGAGTGGCAGCAGTGGCAGGATGAGTACCGGGAGGTGTGTTTTTATGAGGGGGGAAAGAAGGGGGGAGAAGGACTCCAAAAGAAGGGGGGAAAGGGGGGGAGGACTGGTGGTGATGATGGGGGGGAGGGGGGGAGGAGGCCAGGACCGTGGAAGAAGGTGGCTAACCGTCCCGAAAGGTTGTCTGTTCTTCTCAATTTACTTGAATTACCGGAAAAAAACAGGTCGTGTCCGGGTTCGATGTGCTGACCGGTGAGCCGCCCTCCGTCGAGCGCTACGGCTCCGTGGGCCTTGTGGTTCTGCGCGTCCCCGAACCCACCCTTCACTACTACAGCCTCTTCAGCCACACGGTTGGGTACGACACCGTCCTCACCGTGTACGACAACCAGCGGTACGGTGAGCACAATGCGGGGTGCATACATGTGCGTGGAGGTGTGTGGGGGCGATGCATGTACTGCCTGCCTGCGTGGCGTGTACGACTCTGGCAACCTGATGACGTGGAACCTCGCCGTACATTTCCGTGCACGCGGGTTACCAAATACAAATGGCTCAGCAATAGCAGCAACAGCAGCTGTAGCAGCAGTAGCGCCAGCCAGGAGGCTCTTCCTGTCCATCCGCCTTTTAGGCAACTAGAAAACACATACACACAAACACGCATTTCCCCACCACCACCACACACACACCCCACAAACACACAAACACACTCTCCTCCTCCTCCCCCCCGCTTCAGAGCTGGAATGCAAGTACACGCAATTCGTCAGCTGCTACAGCCGACCTGTCTGGCCTCGAGTGGACCTGGGGCCCCTGGCGCGGTTGCTCAACATGCTGGAGGGCGAGGGTGGGTGTGTGTGTGGAGGGCGAGGGTGGGGGGTTCGGAGTTGGAGGTGGTCTCAATCGGGGGGGGAAGGCCACGCGATTGTGCGTGTGTGTATGTGTGTGTGTGTCTCTGGGCCTAAGAAGCCACCTTGCTCGGTGTTACGGCAGGTTTCTATTTCCTTACCTCCCTCTCTTTCCCCCCCCCCCTTTCCCGGCCACCCCGCCGTTCCCGTCCAAACCCCCTGTACGGCAGCACTGGGGCCCCAGCTGAGGTGGAACAGTGCGAGGTTCACGGACACGGGTCCCGTACTACGGATTGAAGATACGGCAGCACCGTTGAGTAAGGCGCAGCTGTACGGACAACCGTACGCGCGTCGTCTGCATTGCAGTACACTGCCGCCGGCGACCATGGTGGCCGTCGTGATGAGCTTCCTGGAGTACGGCATGCAGGTGGGCGGTTGTGGTTGTGTGTGTGTGGGGGGGAGTTGGGCTACTGCTGCTGCAGCTGATGATGATGATAATGGTGTTGGTGTTGGTGGTTGATTATGACGAACAACTTCAGCGACATCGCCATCACCTCCTCCTTGACTTAAGTCAAGGATAATGAATAAGAATAATGAGGTGGGCTGCGGCCGCCGTACGACTCCTCTTTGCTCCCCCGGCGCCTCCCCCCGGCCCCGCTTCCCCCTTCCCGCCGTACAGGGTCTGAAACCCAAAAAGGGTGGCTGGACTTGGGACGAGTTGCAATCCCTGAACAGCGGCATCGCCTGGCGGGTACGGCATTGGTTGGTGGGGTCGTTGGGCCAGTGTGAAGTGATGCGATGTGGTACGATTTTAACGGCTTAGGTAGTTGGTGGTTCGTGTCGCGTCGCGTTGCGTCCGGTCAGGTGGTTGGATTGTTGGGTGGTTGCACAACCGTAAAAACTCCACCAACTGCCGCGACCCGGTGGGCCCTATGATCTTGCCGTTGTGACGTCTGACGGGCCTCATACACACACACACACACACACACAGGAGTGGGAGGACACCGTACGGCGGCAGTGGGACCGCGGGGAGCTGCATCCAGAAGCGTACGTCGCCGCCGCCGCCGCCGCCAACAATAATAACAACAACAACAGCGGCGCTACCGGCCGCCAGCAGGGCTCCTCCTTCAGCGGCGGCGGCGCCGCCGCCGCTGCGGGGTCCCCGCCGCGTGTCGGCGTCGCCATGACCCCGGGCGGCGGCGGCGGCGGCTTCTTCCTGGAGCCCTCCCTGTCGGAACGTTCCAGCGTCATGTCGCAGGAGGATCTGCGGGCTCTGGCGGGTGCCGTACCGCCACGTCTGGCGTCGGGCCGCTGGCAGCTGTTGTACAGCAGCGCGCGCGACGGGATCAGCCTCCGTACACTGTACCGCAACGCCGCTGGTCGGGCGCCGACGCTGCTGCTGGTTCGGGAGGTGGGTGCGTGTGGTCACGTCTTCGGTGCCTTTGCGGCGGAGGCATGGAAGCCGGGTCCGCGGTTCTACGGCACCGGAGAGACGTTCGTCTTCACACTGCAGCCACGACGGGTCAAATTCCCTTGGCAACGACCGCGGCACGGAACGGGGGTCAGCGGCGGAGGCGCTGCCGTCGCCTCCGCCTCCGCCGCCAGTGTGGGAGGCGGAGGCGGAGGCGGACTGGACTATTTCCAGTTCTCTACCCCTGAGGGGCTGGGTGTTGGCGGTTGCGGCTCCTTTGCTTTGTGGCTTGATAATGAGTTGCTGCAGGGCGCCAGCTACGCGTGCGATACGTTTGGGAGCCCTCAGTTGAGTGCGCGCGAGGAGTTCCATGTGTCGGTTGTGGAGCTGTGGCAGTTGTGAAATGGGAGTAGGTGGATTTGGATGAATCAAGTCTCCTTCGGAGTAACATGATTCATGATTATTGGTGCATGCGCGCAAATGTAAGTACATGTATACGCAACATCGCAAAGCTTTTTCAGCGTGGTTCACTTCCAAAGCTTAGCGCGTATATGTCTGGCCGATTCCAACTTTTTGTTTATCGGTCACTTGTTTGGTAGATATTAATTAGTATTAGCCTTTTGGTATACCAAGCTTGCCGTTTATTTCATTCTCGCGGCTCAGTCAGATTTTTTATTCACAAGCACACAGACAATATAAAGGCAGCAACAGCGCAACAAGGCAAAAGCGGGCAAATTGCAAAAAAGACTATTTTAGCTCCAGTAAGGAAGATTATGCTGATATCTGTTCCGTCGCAGCATCTGCAGCCATGTGCAGCCTTCCCGGAAGGATTTCCACTTCGCCCGACCCCCGATTACCAGGTCGGAGACACGTCCGAGCACCCAATAAGGCTCGCTGCTTCATTTCTGTAAGGGAGCGTCGGCGAAGAAGACATAGAGATTTTAGAGAGGGGATGACCCACAGCTAGGAGAAGCACGCACAACAGGTCCCGCAGGAAGACCAGTCGGGGCAAAGCTTCATCAGTCACCACCACCTGCGACCACAGGTAGCCCACGAGAGCACGGTACTTGTCATAAGACAAGGGTACGGCCGAAACCTCGGTGTAACCCCTGGCGACCTGGGACCGCTGATATGAAGCTCGGAAATCCTCAACCTAGATGCAATCGCAAGGGTTGCCTTGGCCGGTGGAGACGTCGAATCGACCACCCCGGCCCACACGGCTGAAGAAACCACTCAGGCAGGACAGGTGGGACTTAACGGCGGCAGGCCCAACGGGGCCGCCACTTCGGCCCTGATGCCGGGGCAGCCACCAAACCGTCATATAGACGAGCATGTCGTCTGGCGTACAACTCCGCCAGTCCCGACCACGACCATGGCTGGAAAGCCAACTCAGGAACTCGGTGGCGGCACCATCCTGGCGGGACACCGTAGAAGAGGCAAGGGCCCCAAGGAGCATCTGGTTGGCCGCGGCCAGACCCCGCTGGTAAGACGCTTCCTGGTCCGCGGCCGAAATGAGGGGCGAAGGGTGGAGCCGAGCGATCACCTGGTCTAGGCGACCGTGAGCCACACCCAAAGGGGCAGGTGCCTGTAGCCGAGAGAATCGCTTAGGAGAGCGCTAGAGCGGACCAACAGACAAAGGACTTCTACTACCAACCTGGGCAGGAACGCCCAGCGGAAAAGGCCGGCTAACGGGGGGCCCGGCAGATCCGGCGGCGGCCAGGAAAGAATCCCTACCGCAAGCGCGACGCACGAGAGTCAGCCAACATCGCACACAGAACAGGGGGCAGCAAACAGATAACCCACAGAAGGCGCCAAAGGAGGAGACTCGAGAGATGGAGCCGAAAACCCAACCAGGGAAAGCGGACCCCCCGGAAGGCCGAGGCCGCCAGTGTGAAGGGGAACCTGCGGAGAGCGGGCCCGTCTCACGGAAGCGCAAAAGACAACACAATCGTTCGGCGACACCTCACCACGCCACGCAAGCCTCGACCAGGAACAGAGGAAGGCTGCACGGAGCTAGTCGCGTCAGTGCCAAGAAAGGCAAAGCCATCGACATGGGCACGACAGCGGTACGGAAACGTATCAGAATGAGCGCACATTCAAGACAACCCGAAATCAGTGGATTACATTTAAATAATCTAAACCTAAGGAGAAGGAGACCAGCCGCGATGCAAGTAGGCAGACGAACAGGGCGTAAATCGGCCACGCGCATTGGAGACCACAGTAAGACGCAAGGGTAGCCAATAAATTTCCCTGTCATAAATGAAAGCACTTACCGCCGCTCCGGACCCAAGACTTAAAACTTGCGGACCAGCCGAAGCTGGTCGCCCGGAGGTCGCGCGGTCCCCTCCGACGGTATGCGGGGACATATGACGGTATGTCCCCGCATATGTGGGACATACCGTCCCGCCACTTCACGCTAGTCCGGTACGGAGCGACGAGCATTTACATTAAAGCACTGGAAAATGAGGTATGAAATTCGTTTCCTTATTTGCCAACCTTTGCCCTGTCATCGGCATCTGAGCCGCAAGAGCGGTGTCGGCGGGTTGACCGGCTGAGAGAAGGCGCGACTGAAGGCGTCCCTCGCCTTCGTCAGGATTTAAGCGACTAATAGCGTCTTTGTCATCTTAATTCGTGCTAGTTTTGGGCAACGGCTGATAAGGAAAGCAAGCAAGCATACTGGGTCGACCGACCATCATAACAAGCAGCGACCGACGGACCAGTTAGACACACATATAAGAGCGACAAGTCATCCATGTGAATTGTCCATTGCAATGAAGCGAAGGCAGAGCACCCGTCTCAGAGCCGGACCAAGTCCACACTCATCTGACTTTCCCGACCTTGTTGTTTTGACTTGCTTGTAGTCGGCACCGGCGAGGCGCGCGATTGAACGCGACGGGGAGGAGATGAATCCCCCAGACAGACCGGTGAGTGGTTAGAGCGAGAGACCAGGGGGTAAAGATCGCGGCAGCGCGCACCCGCGCACTCAGACCCCAAAAACGCGACGCAACGTGAACTCGGCAACACGAGAAGGATTGCGTTTTCCGTTTGGCGAGGAAGTACTCCGGCAGCGAGATAAACGCGCTTTGCCCGACGGATTTAGACATTATTTGTCGCGCGTAGAGGCAGAGACCGAAACCTCCACGACACCCAACCCTAGCGACGCGGTGGCCGATATTTCTCTCAGCGACGCGAAACCGAGACACGCAGTCACGCTTAAGTTGACCACCTTAGCGATTGGGGAGTAACCTATGGCGGTTCTCTTATGCGTGACGAAGGTCGACCCTCTTCGCGTTCCCTTCGGGAGCTGACCCCACCTAGCGTTTGAGACCACCCCTCCCTTAGCGACGGGCGGCGGATTCACCTAGAGCGTTAGAAGTCGACACTCCAAGCGAGTTGGGGCTGATTCCCTAGCGAATTGGAGGCTGACCCTCCTAGCGAGCAAGGGCTGATTCCATTAACGGGTTAGAAGCAGATTTCCCCTAGCGAGTGGGGCTGATTCCCTTAGGTTGAGAGGCGGACCCTCCTAGCGATTTGTGGCTGATCACCTGGCAAATTAGGGCGGACACCCCCCCAGCGAACTGGAGGCTGATCCTCCCCTAGCGATTCGGAGGCCGATCCTCCTAGCGATTTGGGGCTGACCCTCTAGCGAATCGGAGGCTGATCCTCCTAGCGATTTGGGGCTGATCCCCTAGCGAATCGGAGGCTCATCCTCCTAGCGATTTGGGGCTGATCCCCTAGCGAATCGGAGGCTCATCCTCCTAGCGATTTGGGGCTGATCCCCTAGCGAATTGGAGGCTGATCCTCCTAGAGAGCTTGGGGCAAATTTCCCCCTTTAGCAAGTTGGCAGCATCACCCCGCCAGCGAGCCAGGCGCTGACCATGCTAGTGACCCGGAAGCCGACACCCCAGCGAGCCAGAGGCCTCATCATAGCGAGTCGGAGGCACACCCGACAATGTGCGGCGTAATCCTTACACGAATTGCGCCAAAATATCCGGCGATCCAGACTCGGCACACAAGATATTATTGATAGCGAGGCAAGACGGCGAGCTAGACCAAACCCGCGTGGCCTCCACCATCTTTCCGTCCCTACAGGAGACTTCCAAGCACGCAACACAACTCCAACCCCCGACGACCAAGACGACACCTCCCGCAGCGCAACTGACGCAAACAACCGCGGCACAGCGCGAACAGGCGGAGAACGGAGATCTGCAATCGCGTGAAGGCGGTCCGTCAAGTCATTCACCCGAAAGAAGGGCAGGAGGACGTGAAGGCAGGGACACCGCATTGGAAGGCCGCGAGCGACACGTGATGGGGTGGGCAGAGGCCCCCGCAACCGCACACGCGAACCTACCGCCGGACCAACAAGCAGCCACCCAGGGACCAGATTCGGGAAATTCCCGCCAAGCGGAACCCCCGAGAGTGCCTCGCGGCCTAGGGGGGGGGTCACCCCTGCGCATGCCTTCCGTCCAGCTGTGGGATCGCCGACAGCACGTCACCA